AGGCTAGCTCTAATTTTAATTACTGTCTGTGAAATGGACATTATGGTAGAGGTAACTGATACAAACACATAATTGCCTCTCACAGCCAACCCATTATCCCTTTTGCAATAATTATCATGAATATGTTATAGTGCAAACAAAATGTTGTTTCTACAGGAACTTGTCTTGATTTAGATCTTGGAATGGGAAGGGGAACAATTCCAAACAGTAATATAACTGCTTCTTCTGTACAAAGTGCCACCACACCAGCCAAGAATGGTCGACTGAACTACACATCAGGATCATCATGGTGTGCAACAACAAATGACACCAACCCATATCTGCAGATTGATCTACAGACACTTCATATCATCTGTGCTGTGTCTACTCAAGGGAATTCTCAAGCAGATCAGTGGGTGAAGAATTACACACTACAATTTTCCACAAACGGGACAACTTGGACAGACTACAAGGAGGGCGGACAAGTTAAGGTATGTAGGAGATACAATGTGAAAGATAAATTAACTGCTCAAAAAAATGACAGCTATTTTTACAAAAGTAATATAACATGGACTCTAAGTCTGATATGAAAGAGTATCTTTCAGGTGGAGTGATATTGAAGTCTTGTGCTAAGAATTGTTGATCTTAATGCTATTTACACTAAGTCTTTCAATATTTTTGTTCTCACTATTTTCTCAACTTGCCAAAAAAATTAACTGATGTTGAGTTGACTATAATTTATTTACTATTTTGAAGTTTCTGAGAGGAAATGATGACACGAACTCAGAAGTGAAGCATGTTGTTTATAAAGTGTTAACAAGATACCTGCGATTCTTGCCAAAAACACACCAGGGTGGGGTGTGTATGAGAGCAGAGGTGTTTGGAGTGGAACAAAAGCTTAGTGAGTTTGAAACCTATACTTATTTTTGCATGTTTTCCATTATCATATTATTATTTAGTATTGTATAGGGTGTAGTCTAAGACTATTCTTTAAATAAATTTCTCAAACCTACTGTCTGTTATATATTTTGATTTGGTGTGCCTCTTATGCTTGTTAATTTTTAGATAATAGCTGGTATACATGTGCCTCTGATAATTTGGCTGAAAATGATTGAGTGCATTTTTCTCAAGTTAATTAAGTGCAAAGTTATAACTGAGTGTGTATTACAAATAGCACTCATGCACTGTCCCTACAAAATTTTGTTTGTCTTGTCTTACTAGAATGCTTTTTTTGTGTAAATAATTAATAAGTATAATGTCATGATTTGTGTGATTTTGTGTTAATAAGCACTATCTTGTAAATTTTTGAAAGACTACAGAATTCCACTTGCCGCATACTAATAGCTAGTGCAATTTTGTTTGCAATTTTGAAAGTTTGAAAAATCTGCTCATGCTCATAGTAACGCTGAATTGGACTCAAAATCATTTTAATACCTATACTAGTACTATACTGTACTTGGGTAAAATTAAATGGTAGATATATGACTTTTATGCACTCATCAAAGAAATCCAGGCACTAATGTGATTACCTGTTAGTCTTATGAATATTGAATTGTTTAAAAATCCACCAAGAGAAACTTCATTCTGAACTTTAATAAAATCTGGTTATTTTTTGTTTGAAGTTCAATTGTAATTTTTGCGAATTGAAGTGCACATTGAAGGGCAGCACTCAACCAAGATGCATTACAGGGGTACAAGTAGCCATTCTAAGCATTTTCTGTTTTATATTTTTTCTACATTTTATTATCTAGGGAGGGTTGATTATATATTATTACCTTTCAGAATGTTCTATGCAGGCCATTGGTGTAGCCAAGAGTGACACTATTCCAGACAGCAGCTTCTCAGCCTCGTCAGAATATAGTTCAATATATGCAGCTACATATGGTCGCCTAAATAATACATATTCATGGGCACCTAAGGGGAACAGCAATGCTAATGATTACCTTCAAATTGACCTGCTGTTTGAGTATGTCATCTGTGCTGTAGCTACGCAGGGAAATCCAAGGGCTAGGGAGTGGACAACAAAGTACAAGTTTCAATTATCCCTCAATAGTTCAAAGTTTGTCACCTATCAGGAAAACAATGCTGACAAGGTTGGTTTATATGAACTTCAAAGTTATTTTAAGTTAGACAAAATAGTTCACTTACAATCAGTTTTTGCAGGACTGTAACACCATGCTTGTATTTACGTAAAGAGGTAAGCTGAAGAAAATTCATTTTCTTTCTCAATTAAGTCATTTCTTTCCTAAAGTGGCCACCTTTCCATTAAATAGAAGAGTTAGCCATTTTCTTGACCTATTTCTTATCCTTGTTTTACTCTATTACAACAAATTTTTAATCATTACAACAAATTGGTAATTCAGTTTTTCTCAAGATTGCTGTTCATGTGGTTTTGGACTGTATACATAAATGATGGTCATGTTTATGTACATATTAAAAAAGCCAAAAGTAGCTCCTACAACACACTGATTCAATTTTTTTAAGTTAAGGGGAGGGACACAGCAGATGTGTCTACTTGGTCAAGACTCAGCCTCAGTTATCTTTTGAGTGAATGACAAACTGTTTCTGGAACACCCATAATTGTTCATTCCAGCAAAAACACAAACCTGTGTGCTTACTTCATTGCAATTTCTACAGTTTGCTTTCAGTATCCTGTATATATGTTATTAAGTTTTCATCATGTGGACTTTATTACTATAACCATTACCTCATAGCTTCACACTAATATGACTGT